TTTGTCGTCTGATTTAATAGGGTCGTGTTCTTTTAAATTAATTCTTGAGGCAATTTCATTGGAATTCTTATTACTTTCATCCATTTTAGTGCCTAAATTAAACGATGGATCCTTTTATTTAGTGCACGAAAGTCGAACAAGTAAAATTTATTTTCGTGATATTACTTACGTGGGGAAACACAACATTCAAACTAATTTGTTTTTATTATAATTATGACCAGTGCCGAGGAAACATGTCAAAATCATTTATGCTCATATTATTTACAAGTAAAGTACCGACTCATCTGTTTATATATTGTTCTTACAATATTTGAAACAATTTAAAATCACAACTTGGCGACTATTCGTTCGAGGGATTTTTCGGCCTCCTAAAACTAAGTACTTCTAATTAAATTTTCGACAGACAACACTAAGTCCACACAATAAACTAATAAATAGATGCTGATACAAGCGTGTAATAAACATTTTTTAATATTCATTTCAAAAAATCCCCCCCTCCCCCGCCATAGCGTGATTAGCGTGCTTTATAATCTGTCACTGTACTCTGACACAACTCAATATGCTTGGCCACTTTTTATAATCGAATTATCGAAATCTAAAAAAAATATACAAACATGTATTGTACTAATTTCAATTATTATTCTTGGCTTAAAATGTTATATATGGATATTTATAAAAAACGAAGAAAATCCAAGCAGTTCTTTAGAAAAAAATATTCAGTAGTAATTTTCGAAAAATAACCCTGATTTCGAAATCACCTCAAAACCATTTACCAGCTAATTTACCGATTAGCATCGTGACCCTTGGACTTTTTTGTTAAAATTTCATCATGAATTCTGTCATCACGAATCCTAACTTTGAGGGTATTTCAAGTGGCTATTGTTTAAATCAAAATGGTAATTATTCGTTTCAATTTCAATGCGAAAATGATCGAATACCAATAACAACGCAACTCAATCGGTTATCGAGCACAATCAACCACTCAAACATCGAAGGCAAAATTGATCTTCATCGAGAGAGACCTTTCGTCGGTATAAACGCGAAAGGAAAAAAACAAGCGATAATGTATCAGGAAGCTCACGAGAAATCACATAAAAATCCACCACGACAACTTTTCACGATACATTCAATGTATATAGAGACATTATATAAAGATATAATAGGCGCCGCAATGTTACGATACTTACGAAAAAGCCTGCTCCAAACATCCAGATCGATCGTCCCGAGTCCCGGCATCGACTTTTCTCGCTGTCGCCGCTGCTGCTGCTCGCTCACACGCCTCCCGCTCGTCGTTCTCTCTTGCTGCCTCGCACACTCGACACACACACACGCACACACGTGAACAACAAACACACACACGCGCGGGTATACACTGATACAGCAGGCTTGGCTGCTGCTTTATGGCTGCATCATCGTCGTCGTCGTCGTCACACGCACTATATAGCACAACAGCCCTAATACATATCTCGTGTGATATATAGGTATATATATACGGGTACGATACGCGCACCGCAGTGTAAATTTCACTTCGTATTATCTCGTTACACCTTCACATCGTTGCGCGCGCGCGATCATCACTTTTGTAAACGCAGCGGCAGCATCGCCACCACGACCGCGCGATACGTATTTCACGCGCTTATAACTTCGAACGCCGAAATAATTGATTATCAATTTTGCGAGCTCTTCGGGCGCGCGCTCGGCGCTAATGTATTCTCCTTTCGGAGCTAATGCTGCGGACTCGATAACGCTGGCCGCCGGCTACGGTGCCGAGGCTAGCTGCTGCTGCTGCTGCTTTCCCGGTGCGGTGCGGAAAATTCGCCGCGCTCGATCGCACATGGCACACTGAGCACTGTATTATTCGTCAATGCATCGCATTGCACTCACACAGACACACAAGCCGATCGTGTACGATCGTAGGATAATTTGGTGTCTCGAGCATTCGAGCATGGTATATAGACACACACACACACACACATACACGCACACTGTTATATATATTATGCACGAGAGCTAAAGCAAGGATCACTGAACTGCGCCCGAAGCGGCCGCCACCGCCGCCGCCGCTGCACCACCGCAGCGATGACACGAGAACTTTTGCATACACAGTACACACTCGCACGAACACTCGCTGCTACTCGATTCGATTCAGCTCGATAGAGATTATTATTGTACAACGGCAGGAGTAGCAACAGCAACAACAAACACGACTTAAAGATAGAGAAACTTTGCCGTCGGAGCTGCGAGAGAGAGAGATATGAGTGAAAAACAAGGGAGCAATAAACTGCCTGCCTCCGTATTGTAACGGAAAACTATAATAGGAGTTCGAAATCGAGTCGAGGAAACAACTGCGCGCGTTCTTCGCTCGTATTTACTGCTTATTATGTATCGCTCGACCGTTGACGAACTACTGGCCACCAATTCACGTATCGAAGGCGACGAATTTTCAAATGTGCTCACTCGAACGCACGTATACGTAGTGTCGCACGCGCACGTACACACACCCGCACGCACTGAACAAAACAACCACCGTAGCTCAGTTTCGCACGATGTTTGCACGCGTAGTAGTAATATAGAAGCGCAGTCCGCGTTCGTATATTATAAAAGTTGCATATACACACTGACGCACGAAACTGCAGAGAGAGCAATGCCGCGCAGACTTAACCACAGTATCTCTATACGAAAACCGTGCGGACGATAATACGACCGTCGTCGACGAGGATGGTTGGCGCACTGCCGTGCGTGCGTCCCTAGCCTGCGAGCGCTCTCTCTCTCTGCTCGTGCGTGTTAGCACATATATAACGGGCTGGCGAGGGGATGCCGTGGATGTGGAGTTGCGGATGCTATACCCCTCCCCGCTTCGACGGCGCGCCAGCCACCCCTCGATCCGTTGGCGGCGGCGGCGGCGGCGGCAGAGAAGCGCAGCGCCCGAGCCAGCACAGCATCCCCCTGCTATACTGTATACGACTGCGCGCTAAGACCGCAATTTTCATACGTATATAGATATAGCGAGGATGCGTATAACGAATCTCGTCGTCGGCGGCAACGGCGTCAACGGCCAGTATATAGCGCGCTGTACTTTCCCCTCTCGAGGCCTCTCTGCGCCGTTAACAATATGCGTGTATATATGCGTGTGTGCCGCGCGCTCGAGAGCGCCTTTTTCCCGTATCGTCGTCGTTGTATGTGTGCCAACGAGAGGGTGGCAGAAAAGCTCCCGCGCGACGTTATATCACTGTATTATATACATCATCGCCACGCACGCACACGTTAATACATATATACGCATAAAGATGTGTGCGCGATGTATATGGAAGCTGGATCAGTAGCCCAAGTTCCAACGCGACTATACGTATAGGTTAGGTTCGAGCATGGTGCGCACAGTACGAGCACGCTGCGCGCGCGATGCAGCAGCGGCAGGCGGCAGCAGCTATCGGTGCGCCAGTGACTCTTCTCGAAAACTACTCCCCTCTGTCGCAATTCACCATCCCTCTCGTCGCTCTCTCTCTCTCAGCCTTTTTGGGGGCTTTACTGCCTTTCCTCTCCTCTCGTTGCGCCGCTGCTCCCTATATATACTTACTCGTCGTCGGTATATTTCGCGTGTTATTTACACGGAACAGAGCGACACGAGAGAGAGAGAGAGACCCATTGGCCTCGTGATCCGCAAGCCGTGAACTATATGCCGCTGCTGCTGCTGCTGGTCGGCGCGGTACAAAGTTCTCTTTCTCCCTGCGTAAAGCTTTGAGTTGCCAGCACTTATGCCGCTACATATATGTATGCGGCCCTACACACACGCATATTATAGCGCACGTTGATCTCGGGCTTTTTTTTCGTGCAGGCTGCAGCGCCTGTATGTGCTTGGAGATGAACGATTTTTTTTTGGTAGGAATTTCATGACGGCATCCTATCTACGCGGTACGGTAGGGAAATTTGTACCGAAATACGTCGCTGGAATCAAGTGAAAGCAGCAGCATTTTGCAATTTGAATCGTTGACTCGTTGACCCCCCCCCCCCCCCCCCCCCNCCCCCCCTCCCCATTATCACAATTATAAACATCGCGACTTTTCATGAAACATACATCGTGTTACGATTGTGCGGCGTACCTATATCTGCGATTTGAGATCCGCACCAGTACAGCTATATGTAGTAAGTGCGTCAGCGAAGCCACTTCGATTAACTTATTATCGTCATTTGTTTACAACTGTATCATTGCAATGGGCGAGCTTTATTCAGTTCGAGCTCGCGTTAATGTACGAAGCGGTGCGCGGGGGCGATTTCTTCGCGAGAGGTATTATACTTTACGGCGCACACAATGCATCGGGCGCTCGATCGTTTTATAAAATATTCATAAGATCCTCTAGCTGTAACGTAGATCCACCTATATACGCTTATATTGAGGTCCCAACGCGTGACGTTGCCGTGCGTCAAGTACGTCGTTAATATAAAAGAAAGATCGAACGAGCGATCGAGGATCGCGAGAGATGACGCGAATTTGACGGATGCATTTAACTGCCGAGCCGCAATCCGTATGTACATATATGCATGATACATCGATTCCTTTGTAAACGCGCGAGAAAGAGAGAGGGACGTATGAGGTATAATAGAATAGTGGAGAAAAGCGAGACAACTTTTCCACGAGTATGTATGCACAAGGGTATATGCTAAAATATATATTCGACCGTGAGAATTTTAAAACTTCGGATACGAGCCACTTTTTTTACGATGATCCGAACGAAAAGATTTAATTTTAGATAGTCGCGCCTTTTTCATATGTGAGCGATTCTTTGAAAAAAAAACTTGAATCGCGATTGAATTTTTTTTTCGTCACCATAGAGAAATCTAACGCTGTGCATCGTCGTAGCCGTGTTTGTGCGAGGTTGCTGATGGAGGGGGTAAGTTTTGCCATACCAGAGAGCTCCAAGTTGTAACAGTTACCCGGAGATCATCTCGATATTTATTAATCGGACGACTAATACGACTGATATTGCGTTCACTCGCTATACTAATGTAAAAGTGAAATTCGCGACAATGTGTTCACAAATTACATCGTAGTAGTGTATTAGTTTGAATCAAGGTACAGTGTTGTCTCTTACGAGGCTTATAACCTCTAATATTTTCACAGCATCTATTGCGATAAATTACGGTGAATGTACCTATCGCCGAGGAAGTAATGGAAGTCAACAATGACGTAGTTGGGTATAATATTTTTGTGTGTCATGATGACAAGATTATTTTTTTGAGTTATTATCTTATAGAATTCGATTTTTCTTCAGGGTGAAGGAAGAGCCGAGCGATACTTGTCCAGATGCAGGTGACGATCGTGTTTTCGATTCGACGGGCTCTTGCAATGATGTAAAAGTTGAAACTTTTCCGTTTCGTGAATTATCGGTGAGTTCAATGATATGAATTGTGTTATGTTTTTTTTTTTGCTATGGAGAACTAATAAACAATACGAATTTCAGGCGAAACAACAAATATTCATTGACTTCGAGGGCAGAAATGTTAAAACTGAACTGAAGCCGCTATCGACAGTCATCTGCAAAACCGAACATAAAAGTGGCCTACCTATTGTGAAAATAGAAAAAGAAAACCAGCTCAGTCACTCGAACGAAAAAAGTTTAATAATTTTGATAAAAAAGGAATTTAATTATGACGATAATTGTCAATTTAACTCCCGTGCAATATTTATCGAACGCGAGAATCTAAAAAGTTTTGAAAATTCCGCAGGAAAATCATTTGAATCAAACATGTATCGAAATACTAAGAAAGCAAGAGTAAGTTCAACAGAGCATACGAATACAATACTTAAAAAGAGTAGCATTAAACCGGGTGAATGTAGAATTTATAATGAATTATTTTCCTGCAAAAGTGACCTGAAAATTCATTCAAAAACGACACACCATTGTAGCGAATCCTTTGAATGTGAGATTTGTCACAAATCATTTAGACCAAAAGGCAACCTCAAACGTCACATGAATGTTGTACATAATCGGATCAAACACTTCGAATGTGAGATTTGTCATAAATCTTTCGGATGCAAAGCTGACCTCAAAACTCACATAAATGCAGTACATGATCGTATCAAACCCTTCGAATGTGAAATTTGTCATAAATCATTTGGAACCAAGAGTAGTCTTAAGAGACACAAACAAGTAGTGCATGATCGTAGCAAACCCTTCGAATGTGATATTTGTCGCAAATCATTTGGACGTAAAGAACACCTCAAAACTCATATAAATGTAGTACATAATGGAACCCGACCCTTCGAATGTGAAATTTGTCACAAATCATTTGGACTAAAGTGTAACCTCAATACTCACGTTAATGCAGTACATAAACGAAGCAAACCCTTTGAATGTGACATTTGTCACAAATCATTTGGACATAAACAATACCTCAAAACTCATATAAATGCAGTTCATGATCGTATTAAATCCTTCGAATGTAAGATTTGTCACAAATTCTTTTTACACCGAGGTAATCTTAATCAACACATAAATTCTGTACATATTTAAAGCAAACCCTTTGAATGTGAGATTTGTCACAAATCATTCGGATACAAGGTTGATCGTAATAGACACTTACGTGCAGTGCATAATTAGAGCAGACCCTGAAAACTTACATAAATACTTTTCATCGTTGTTTCAAATATTTTGTTATAAAAGATTCATCTCGATAAAATGTGGATACAATAATTTTGCATTTTCATGAGTATCTTAATGATTGAACACTTTTTTTATAAATATTGTTTAATATCGTAAAAAGTTTTGGAGTTTTGTTATTAATTTGTCATGACTTTGAATTCTTTTTACATTTTGAATAAAAACTATTAAATACTACATCTTGTACGTAATTTTTTATCCCTTTTTCATTATTTTAAAATCCCAAATACCTTGAGTAGTCATATTATTGGAAAACACGATTTTCGTTATCTGAAAATGATATAGAAAAAATACCTATTAAAATTTTGTTTGTGAGTTTTCCCTCGTTTCTGTGAGAATCTCAAAAACAATTCCCAACGGTTGGTATAAATGTAATATTTTAATCTCAATTTCAGCTTCCAATTTTAAGTATTTTTCAGAGAATTGCTCACATTCGTAAGGAAGTTCCTTATTTTAATTGTAACTGCCCACGCGAGTGTACGGTGTTCAGTGTAGTATCGAAATACCAGTATTTTTGGTTCACGTGAAAAGTGCGAGAAAGAAATTTCAATTTTTTAAGACGCTTTGTAATTTACCTATTATCAATAATAAATATCATTAAGTTGAAACACGAAGTCACTATGTCTAAGCTGCTATTACTGATAATAACTATTGTATTAAAATTTGTCAAAATTTTTTCTTAAGGTTTACCAATCATAAGCAGACACGAATTATTGCAGTCCAATAGCGCAACGATTTACGGCAACGTCGCGTAGCTCGAATGTGTGCTCGTTACTGGGATGCATTTCTCTAGTCGGATTAGTTCACGAAGCAAGTAAATGTCTATATTAATTCAGTCAGACGCTGATACTCGGCTTGATAACAATCACGCGCGTTTCTTTCTTTTTGAATTGTCAACGAAAATTTGCCATCGTAATGATAGCAATTTACGTGATATCGGTCTTGGCCCTTGTAATTGTGTGGAGTTATATTTATTTTCGCACGAACAGAACGGCCAGGGTTATCGATGCTCTACCTGGACCCGAAGCAATACCAGTACTCGGAAATTTGATGCAGATTCAGATACCACCCGGTAAGATAACTTGAAAAATTCCTCGCTTTTACTTTAGAGGAAAGAATTGTTATTTCATTAAAAATACACCTTTTGCTGCTCGTTATTCTTCATTAATTAATTTAATATGAAATCTTATTATGAAGATTAATTACATATGAGCTAGATTGAGGAGTAACACCATCTAACATTTAGAAAAAATTGATATTTTTCTTCGATCGTACCTTAGGAAACGTATGTTTCAATTACTTTAAGACGTGCATTATCAGTCCTCAAAATTTCCAATTTTTTACAAATATCGAGTGGTGTTACTCTTCAAAATAAATTTATAAAATAAATTTCATGACAATTACTGCATAAAAATGAAAAAATTAAATTTCAATTAATTTTACTAAACTTACGATGCTAAATGCAAGCGATCAATGCGAAATCGATGTCTTTTTTGAACTTTATTCGAAGCACACGTTTCATCATTTTTTTCATTCATTTTACCAATTAATAACTATAATTTTGAACAATTTCAGTGAAATTATTCCAATTGTTTTGCGAATGGGGAACCAAGTATTATCCAGTTTATAGACTATGGTTCAGTGTCATACCGGTCGTCTTCATACGGCACCCGGATGACATAGAGGTTAATTGCTTTTCTTTAAGCATCTATAAATCAATTTATGCGAATGAATAATAAGCAAATTGATTATAGACTCTTCTAATGAGCTCAAAGCATATCAATGAATAAATTACTTTTCTAAGCTTCTATCAAACATCGTGTGAATGAATAATAATAATCTAATTGATTATAGATTCTCCTAATGAGCTCTAAACACATCAACAAGAAATTAGGCTACGAGCACCTTTATTCGTGGCTGAAGAGTGGGCTATTAACGAGCTCGGGTAAACACTGATCGTGTTACCTTTAAATTAAAAATTCTGCTTGAAGTACTTCAATCGTTTTTTTATTTTCATTTTTAACAGATAAAAAATGGCATCAAAGGAGAAAACTTCTCACACCGGCTTTTCACTCCAATGTAGTGGAAAAATATATGGAAATCACGTTCGAGCAGAGCAGCAGAGCTGTCAAGGACGTCTCTGCGTCGGGAAAGGAAACGAACGTGGATCTGCTGCCCTATTGTTCCAAATGCACTTTAAATATCATTTGCGGTAAGCACTTTGACTTACACAATCTGACCGGATATCCCCGATTGATCGAAGTTAATTTGCATCAGAGTCGGCGATGGGCGTATCGTTGACGAGCGAAGATGACAACAAAGACGCCGTTGATTATAAAAATGCAATTCACAAAATAGGAAGTATCGCCGTTTACAGGTATACACGTGCGCAATAAGATCTTCGAATTCTGTTTCAATGACTCAATTTTGTACGAAATTATTTACAGAATGACAAGACCCTACATTCTAGACTGGATGCTTCATTTCATGCCTCAACTAAAAAAAGAGACGAACAGTGCCTTAGGCCATCTTCATGGATTCACTAGCAAGGTAAAATTTCTACTATTTTGATAAAAATTATCAATTGATACATTCTTGAAAATCTGAAACAAACGAAGTTTAATTAGCTGCAGAAAATATATTATGTAAGGCATTCTTAATTTTTTTCAAGCTGTAAACCGAAGAACTTATGAATTATTTTTCTCAATAGATAATCAATGAACGTCGAGAGTATCACGTTGATACAGGATACCAGCAACTAAGCGATGCGAACCTTGACGCCAACGAGGATGCAAACTTCTACGGTACTTTTTATATCGTAGATCTAGATTTTATCAACTCGTGATAAAAAATGGTATACGTCACTCGGGCGCGCGGTGCTTCTCGCCCTCGTCTCATTGACTGAGAAAAACTGAGACTCGTGCGAGAATCGCCCACTTCGCGCACGAGTGACGTAATGTACTATTATACGACTCTCATTCGAAAGTTTTGAAACATTTTACATTGTCATTTTATCGAATGACACGACGATAAAAGAGTTTGATGTTCGCAGGCAAAAAACGAAGACTCGCCATGCTAGATCTGCTGCTCTTGGACGAAAAAAAAAATTTGATAGACGACGCTGGAATCCAAGAAGAAGTATCTACTTTTGTATTCGAGGTAAGTGCATGCTTTTCTTACATTTAGTTTTTTCCTCTCTGTTTTATAAATTATTATTACTCACCGGTGAAATGCCTTTTTGCAGGGACACGATACAACAGCTCTGGCAATGTGCTTTGCAATATTGTTACTCGCTGAAAATAAAGAAGCACAAGTAGGCAAAGATCATTTCTTTTTCTGCTTCGTCATAAGTGCTGTTACCTTACCTTATTTATTTTTTTGTGGTAGGATAAAGCACGCGAAGAAGTTGAAGAGATATTGAAGCCTAAAAATGGCGTGATGAGTATACCGGATCTTCAAAAAATGAAGTATTTAGAGAGATGCATCAATGAAACGATGAGATTGTATCCCTCGATTCCAATCATATCGCGTCGAGTGGACGAGGATTTGCAGTTGAGTATGTATTGGACTCTTGAGCTTGTTGTTGGGATCTTCACTCGTTCTATAGACGACATTTTTTAACATTTATTTGCAGAAAATTGTTTGTTACCGCGAGGATCAAATGTGTTCCTTCACATTTTCAATGTGCACAGGGACCCGAATTTTTGGCCTGAGCCTGAAAAATTTGATCCAGATCGTTTCTTGACCGAAGAAATAAAGAAACGACACCCATTCTGCTATATTCCATTCAGCGCTGGATTCCGAAATTGCATCGGTTCGTCCATGAAACTGTCGTATATTTTCTAAAAATGATCAAATCATTGTCGTATGTAAAAATGTATTTTTTTTTTTCAAGGTCGAAAATTCGCAATGATGGAGATGAAATCTCTGCTTGCTCGAATTTTGTACGATTTTTATTTGGAGCCGATCGATCGTCTGTCCGACATCCAAATACAACTCGACATGGTTTTGCGTCCAAGTAAACCTGTTCACACTAAATTTATCAAGATTGATAGATTGTAATAACTATTTTTTATGTTGCATCCTGAAGTTTTTTTAAACCGTTTTTAAACAAATTATTACATAACACACGCACTACATAAAATAAGCAGATAAAATACAAATGTATTTAAAAAATTTTTTAAATAGAAATAATTGCTCGTTAAAAGTTGATAATAAAATCTGTGTTATTTTATTTCTTCGCGCAGTTTTCAAATTTTTTTATTGACTATCATAAAAATTCAAAAACAATTTTTGAATCATGTTTTTAAAATTTTTGCACGACCCATTGCACTCATTGTTTACGATCAGTTGTTTTTGTAAGGTATTAAAAAAATAATGGAATAAATAACCTTGGATATATTTGGGTTCAAAATACACGTAAAATGGGGGGTCAAAATACACGTAAAAAACTTTTTCTATCTGATTCTGTCCATCGACTACGAGAACTCTCAATGCCCGCGGACTAGTTAGAAATTTGACTCTTCTTTAGAAATTAAACGCACAAATCATATAAAATTCTCGCTCGAATTAAGCGAATGAATTCCCTACTCGTATATTTGTAAGAAGATCTCGCGATCATGACGTAATTTTCGCGGACCAATGTCAACTGGCAATGTCAGAGATGAACTACGATATGGAATAGGCATTCACATGTCATCGAAACAGCGCCGGAATTATAATGAAAATGTCATTGTACAACTTGCTCTTGCATAGAGAAGCATAAAAATCGAATCAAATCGAAAATGTATTCACGGAGCTTCTTTAAAATATCCTTATCAACTAATATCCTTTTCAACTCACAGATATTTTTTGTGGTAGAAATTTTCAGGAGTAATCTTTTTGTCAATTCGATTTTTTAAATTAGGTAAAAAAAGGACGATTTCACGGAAGTTTTGAATTTTTTTTAGTCATACGTTGGAGAGGAACCATATGTTTTGAGTTGCGATTGAAAACTACTTCCGACAAAAAATAGGAGATTGCAAAAGATTAATTTGAAAACTAATATGGTTCAACAAATGCAAATTTTTAAATGTTTGTATCGATATATAAATGAAAGAAAGATAAAAGGTGCAAATACTTTTGGTTAGCTATTATAACACTATCAGTATAAAGTTATACTATTTAAAGTTTTCATTTTAAACCGTATGTTAGTGTAAGATTAATTCAAACATTTTTTGTCAGTAGTAATAAATAAAAATTCAAGTTTTCGTTGCTTCCAAATTTATTTAATTTCACAACTTTTGGTAACTGATAAATGGTTATGAATTTCTTTTTTTCTATACCTAATTGTTTGTGTGCGTATGATACGAGCCAAGCGTTGGCTTAAAAAAAGTGAGTTTCGAACGCTTAATGCTTCAACCAATTTTTTTTGGGAAGGGGGTGCGAACTAACGCGTTTTATTTAATCGTACACACATCGTTCGTTTGTGTTCTCGACAATCGCTTAATAGAACGCGATAGGCATTTCGTTCGCGCACTCGTTGTATTATACGTGGGAGGTAAAGTAATTTTTTTTATCTTTGAATTGCCCGTCGGTTCAAAAATGCAGAGCGAGCAGAATGCGATTGTAACGATATCCAAAAGTAAATTAATAAAGCTGGTGTGATTGCACTTGGATTTTTCATTACCACGTATGAAATTGATCTAAATAGCTCGAAGTGATCCGTACTTTTTTGTTTCTTGCACTAATGATACAAAAAGAAGGGTAAAATATGATTTGGAGCTTTGAATTTGAATCTGGAAATGTTCTTACGAAATCAATGAGTGCAGTCGTTCAGTCGTATCGAGTTTATTGCAACATACCAGTTAGCAGTTAAAATATTTTTACAGCTTTTGCAGCTTACGAAGTACGCGACATTAAATTTTTTATCTATAAATATAATAAAATATCGTTTGCGTAGTAAAATACACAAAGTTATTCAATGTTCAATTAAAATTTCTTTTTGTACAATGTATCGCCTAGGCGATAGAGAAACTCGATGCGTATACGGTTACGAAGAAGAACGATCGTTTGGCGCAACGAAACGATTCTTCGATCATCTGGACGGGATGATGGATGCTATTTTTTTGTTTATGTACATTATTATATCTACTCTGTTCCTCGGTACGATACGAGGAAGAATCAAAACGAAGCTCGTCGCGGAAATAGAAAAAAATAAAATTTTTATCCCGATGCGGGCGTACAGTATATATTAAAATACAGTCTATTCTTTTGCATCTTCTTTGGCTGCTATCTCGGATTTGGCATTTACTCTGAAAGGTTAAAAATAAATCATAAGTTTTCCATTCATACCAATCACAATTATAAAGATACCAAAAAAAAAGTTGAACTTCTTACTTCGCAAATTGTCCAGCATGCCCTTGGCGCGTTCCATCACCCTATGCATCTCCGTCAAAGCCCGATCGTACTCGGTCTCGTTGAGATTCTGAAGGTCCGCCGGCAGGCCCGCCCTCATCAGAGAAGTTCTCAGGTCCATTCCGAGGTCAGTGACGACGGACGGATCCAATTGGAGCTCGTTTCTTCTTCGCGGGGAAGCGGTAGGAGGGCCACGTCGGGCAGCGGCGGCGGCACCCAGCTCAGGCTCGATTCGCAGATCCCACTCGCTGCGCTCGGCACCGGCCGAATCGCGACGGACTCGCAGACCGTAGTCGATCCTTTGGTGGCTCGTTTCGACTCGCAGCTCGGAGGGGTTGGGCGTGCGCGGCGCGGGCGGTCTCGCCACGGTGGCTCCCAGGTCCTCCCAGCACGCCGCGAGCTCGTCGGCCGTCATCCTGGGTTGCTGCTGGGCGGCGGCGGTGGTGGTACGCTGCTGGGCCGGCACCGCGGCCACCGGCGCGCGGCTCGATCGGACTTGGTCCATGTACTCGGTCGCCGTTTCCGGGCCTCGATACGGCTCCTCGTTGCCGATTACGTAAGGGCGCATCGGACGCGGTACCCAAGGCTCGGGCATGAGTGGAAAGGTCGTTGTCCTGGCCAAAACTGAGGAGAAAATCATCGTATGGATATTGATGTAATGATAAACGAAGGAGGTGGAGGTCTTACCGTCCTTGATGTCGAGCTGATTGGCGAACGGCCCGGCGCCTTTCATCGCTGTTTCGATCAACTTGTTGTAGAATTCGGCCTCCTGCGAACGAGATATCGGTTGAATTTTAGGACAAACGAACGAAATCGAGAGCGATATACTTACCGGATTGGCCGGGTAGGGAGGTGCACTGGGGCTTATCATGGGCCTGGGCGACATTCGCGGCGGTTTTAGGAAGGAAGCCAAGTTCCAAGTCGAACTCCTCGTCTCGGTTTCCGCACCATTGTTGCTGCTGCTGGTGCTGGTTGACCTGCGATGCTCCAGCAGCGAGACGAACGACTCCTTGGAGTTTTGCAGCTGCTGCTGGAACTGCTGGGTGACGGCCGCGCTGTACGACGGTGGCGCGTAATGAATCAGGGCGGGTCGTTGTTGTTGCTGGTCCCGGGCGAGGTGGTCGTTTTGCGAGACGCAGGTCGAGTACGACGGCGGGTCGCTCTGATTCGAGCTCGTCATCCTCGTCGTCGACGTCGTCAACGTCGTCGTCGTCGTCGTCGAGGTCGTCGTCATCGTCGAGGTCGTCGTCGAGGTCGCTCGCGAGATCCAGCGGTCGCGGAAGGCCTCGGGGACTGGTACCGATGCCGCTACTGCCGGCCCTGCCGATGCTGGACGCGACGACGTTGCTCGTGCTTCGTCGCGTATCTGCTTCTGTTTTTCTACCATCTTCTTGAGCGGCTCGTTCTGTGGGTGGGGAAAAAATTTCGATCGTTAGTTTGAGCGTGTTCGTTGGAGTGAGGCTTGTCATCGCTGTTGTTGTTTTTCTTTCAACAAAAAAGAAATCGACGGTCTATACGAACACGACCGGTTTACAGTGAGAAATCGGTAGATGTCAACAAATGAATAAATCGAAGAGAGCTCCAAGTAAATAGAGCAAAATTATGAATCAAATCGATGAAATATTTGTTGAACGAGAAATACCACTACAGCGAGAACAAGAATAACCCTACCATGACAAAGTTACTCGTCTGAGCGAAAGCGCCGACGGGCCCTGGTTTATCGAGGAGAGACGGCTTCTCCACCCGGGGAATGATGCCGAGCATCTTCTCTATGTCCTCCAAAACAAATCCACTCGTCCTTCGCGGAGCCTCCTCTCGGACTGTCCGCCTGTTCTGCGCGCACGAGGAAATCACGTAAGGGATTTTTTTTTTCGTGAAAAATAACGATTCAGTCGAATAATATACTTACTGCCTCCTGGCTGAGTTGACTGACGGGTGGTTCGGGTGTAGTCTGTTGCCTCGGCGGCTTCGCAGGCACCTCCTCCGCCGCGTCCCCCTTGACATTGACATCTAGCTTGATCCCCGGCATCGACGGTCGTCGCTTGTACTCGTCCCACTCGAACTCGAGCTGGTTCGTCGTCGGTTTCATCGTCGTCGGCCGTTCGTTCCTCGGCGTCGTCGTCGGGAAGCATCTCGGCTGCAGCCGCGACACCCTGTCCTTCGAGTCGACGAGCTTGAGGTTCACCCCGTCGACGGTCCTCGACACGGACTGCATGGGTACGCGCAGGTCGATCTTGATGCGGAGCAGATCGTCTACCCACGAGTAGGCCGAATCGACGGACATCTCGACGTTCAAAGCGCCGCCTGCGCCGCCGCCACTGGCTTCGTCCTTGGCTTCGTCCTTGGCTGCTTCGTTGTTGTTGCCGCCGATGCTGCTGCTGTCGGTCTCGTCCGTGGACGCGGCGCTGCTCGCACGGAGCCCGCTACTGCTGACGACATTTTCCTCGCCGGCGGTCGCCTCTTGCACCCGCTGTACGGACAGACGAGGCGCCGAAGAGTCGGCTCGTTGTATAGCTCCGGTCGCCGCGATGGGGCTCGGATACTCGTGAACGCTGCCCGGGGGAGACACCTCTACTACGGGGCGCGCCTCGTCGTTTATGCTGAAATATTATATCGATGAAAATTAACGAAAAAAAAAAAAAAAAACCGTGAGAGAGATCGAGCGAGAAAAATTATATACCTGATGTACGTATCGGACCTCATTTCGAGAGTGCTGTGGTTGGATGATGAGATGATGATGACACACGACTATTGCTGTGCGACAGACGGACGACTGATCGCGAGTCCAGTGTGTGTGTGTATACGAAGCGGGATTTTCGACCAGCTATTATAACGAGCGTAAACAAACCGAGACTGTGCGCGCGTTCGGGACACGAGATTTTTCGAATTTCGATGTACACGCGGTTGAGAGATTTAATCGGATGTAAATTTTAAGATTTTAGGGCGAGAGCTATCTTGAATGATGAGCGTATAGATTGAAAAAAATCCGATCGACGAGAGAAGCCGAGGAAGGGAAAAAAATGTCGATTCTCGGCCTGCTCGGATGCGTTCTTTATTTTTCACTTATACATACGGAATCGGCTCTGCGTAGCTGTACGAAGTAAAAATGTCCCACAGGCTGTGTGTACGCGAATCGTACTCTCCTTCGATCCGCTGGTTCGCGATGCAGCGACACGGGAAAATTATTCGTTCGAGAGATGATTTTATTGGATCGATGAAAATATTGTTTTAGGCTAGAATTCATTGCATCGATTAAATCAAATCTTTGTTGACTTCGATATTTGTTAAGTGACAAGTAGAGTTCACATGTAAACAAATTTTCAACTATACGCGATGTTCGACGTGAAAACAGTAGAGAGACTATCAGATACACGGTACAATTTGAAAATGAAAAGTAGAGAGATTTTTACAATGTCAACTTCGGAAGAGAATAGATTTGTAAATCAAAAAAACGAAATGCGTCACATGCGCTGTACGATTTTCACGGAGTCAAGGAATTTTCAGATTCATGTAAATAGTTCAATTAAAAATCATCAATCAAAAATTATACATGCGAAACGTGCGGGAAGTCTTTTGGTAACAAAAAAGGCTTGGATACAAGAGCAATTTTATGCAGCACCAAGATTTAGTTCATGTGAAACTTAAAGAGCATATTTGTAAAGAATGTGGGAATGATTTTCGTTATGAAAAAGATTTGAAATGAGAGATTGTCACAGTTCATCAAAATATTAAATAATACAATTGCGAAGGAAGTGATTAATCTTTAGGAGTACAAAATCGTTTGACGAGGCACATAAAGTCAGTTCATTCGAAACTCAAAGAGCACATGTGCAAAGAATGTGAGGATGATTTTGGTCGTAAAATTAACTTGAATGGACACAAAAATTGTCCATCGAAAATTAAGAATTACTTTGACAACAGATGGAACAAGATTGAAGTAAATAACATATTTTTAATCCCTAAACTTTTGCTTCTAAACAGGCTATCGTTCACAAAAGCTTCAAAGGAACATAACTGTGTTGAAGATTTTTTTTTCTTCAAAATATACAAGAGCAACTAATCTTCTCATATCTATTTATTATAATTTTATTTTCCAAATGAACGATGAATCCTTATTTGTAAATAGATATTCTAATCTCGCATCGTTAAAATCACGCAATCATCTCTCGCAACGCATAAGCGCAGTGCAATAAAAATCCAAACAAGCTCGAGTGCGCGCAAAGCTCTCTCTCGCGCCGTTAAAGATCGATAACGGATCGAATGACTTTACGGCGCGAGTCGTTTAGCGAATGAATTTCGCGCGTTCGTGCGTTTTATCGCGAGGATCTTGGCCTCCTCTAGGTGTATTTATGTGCCTGTGTGGGGGGGGGNGGGGGGGGGGGGGGGGGGTACTCGCGGTACATAAGACTTGGAAATGGAATAGCTCGAGTGTGGAGCGAAAATCCGCCCCTGCGTACGTGTAATATAACGTGTTTATATGCGTACGCCCGGAGTATACAAACTCGCTTATTACCAGGCCAGAATGGCCTCTCGTGCGTGCGAGGCCCATTAAAACTAGCAACAAGAGACAGAGATAAGATTAGGCACGTCGCGCACACCTATGCGTATTATATTGTTTTTTTTTTTTTTTTTTTTTTTATTCCTCGTGCGCGGCATATCAAATTCAGTGCAGTATCATAAGCACATAGACTACTCGAAAAAGAGCGACGGATACAAAGAAAATGAGAAACGACCTGGGAGAGGTAAGGAAACGAATTAACGCGTTGAATGCGGGGTCGTTTGTCGAGCAATTTATTTGCGACAATCGACCGAGCAGCAGAGCGAAAAAGAGTGACCCTGAGAGAAAGTATAGATCAACGCTCTATTGGTACAAGGGTCGAACCCAAAGATCCTTGTCGCGACTTATTCCTTGTTGTATATACACATTTATATGGAGAGACACTCAGCTTTCGAACGAGAGGAGCTTCTGCGTAGCTCACGGTAATATCGCAGTATATGTATATACTTCGACGAGCCTCGACTTCGAATTGCAGAGAGACTTCTATTGGACTCCGCTCGTGCTTATACATTATATCGGACAATGGAGAAACTCTCGCCGCTGTCCTGCGAGGGGGGGAGGTGAATGGGTGGTTCGGAGCTTTCCGTCGTTGTACCGCGCGCGGAAATCACAATAAACCAATTCGATGCACTGCAGACGTGGCTGGCTTTTGTGCTATATTTTCTAGCTTCTCTCAACAACGCAATCGACGGTATGCACTGCGCGACGACGATGACTGCGACGAAACCAATCGGAGACTCGATCGATGACAAATTAATGAACGAAATGATAATGGTGAATTTACACTACTACAGTTCTTGATGTTAGAAGCTTTTTTTACCATGAAATAGATAAAATGAACCTGATTACATAAAATAAATCTCCCAGCTCACCGTGGATATTTTTGAAAACTCGTTGAGTGGAAAAAAATAGCGATGGACTCGCTCACATACATTTCACACGCAGAGATCTTTGTAAATTTCCAAGAATTCAAATCGATAAAAATAGCTCGAATATAAAATATAATTAGTCTCGCGACAGATACGAGATATATACTGTAGAAATATTCCGAAAAACCGGTAAAAAATCTGCTTCGGCCTAGAGTATCGAAATTATGAAAATATAATACTTTATCGGGTGAGCTAATACAGATTCGGTGCGTATCTCACGCGCTTTGTACAATGCGTTTGATCTCTCCTCGCGCGAGACATGCGTCGTTCGAAAGTAGCATCTTTTTCTTGGACTCTCTTGCAATACTATAATATATCTAGCTGAAAGTTGAATGTAATTATACATTAAAATAATTTGATCGATATCGCGACTTTTTGTTCTTGGCACTTTTTCTCAAACTCTTTTCTTGACGAGATAAAAAACGCAAAAGAAAGTAAAGCGCAATCATGAAAAATGATGAAAAATTATTTTATGAAAAATGCAAGTGTAAGGAAACCTTTCTAATCTTCAAAGTTTTCATTTCGAGAAGGAATGATCAAAGCCATTAATGCAAAGAACAAAAAAGTCTTGAATTTAGTGAAAAAATACTTGAGAATTTCATCAGAATCTTTTTCGTTTCGAAAATAGCTTTGAAATTGGTATCGAAAGAAAACAGATATCTATATTATTTTCGAGCTTAATCGGGGTGTAGCGTCTCAACTTAGCTAGTGTCGTTCTGTATTTTAAAAAATATACAGAACATGAAAATGGAAATACAACGTAAATTCGTCGTTGGTGCAACAAGTATATTTCGTCTGTCTGACGCGGTCAACTTTCGCGATGTTGAATTTCGAATTGCATCTTTCCATCCGTTGTGTCTTACTTTTTTTTCAATGTACTATCCGAGTAAAAGTTCATACTCTTGTTTTATTTATTTATTTTTTTTTTACTACACCGATGGCGTTATTACCTTCTCGATCCATATCGGACATATATTTTATTTTTTGCAGAAAAGAATATTCAAGGCAAATAAGCTATGAAATATGTATTATTTTGTATCGAAAAGTCATCGCGTCTTATTGAAAGCACTCGCGATTTTCATACACAAAGAGAGGAAGATAGATTTGTAGCCGACGAAAGTAGACACTGACTGCACTCGTGTATATATTGAGAAAAAGGAAACTGTTGAATTTCGATGAATATTTGCATTTGTATCGCCTTTCATTGACGCACAAGAAACAATGTATATTTCTTGCCGATCGAGTAATGGAATGTTTTTCAAATTTTTATCAGATATCAAGTTGTAGTCTAAAAATATAATAATATTGTAATTTACCCATTGAACTCGACTTCATTTAAAGTTATACGCACTGTGTAAAAATTAATGCATTACCTACTTTGTCATTGCTAAAAAAAAACTAGCGATAGTAAAATTTTGTTCATTTCTGCAATGGACTGATTCAGTAATTTTACTGCGAGTGAAATTCAAATTACTTTTACTTTTATAAAACTGATCGTGGCAAATGAAAACTTCATGCAATTGCAAATAAATCTTGTATTAAATAGTTAATTAGAATCCAGCGGAATCAAGTATTTCAGTGTTGTTTTTATTCTCCATACGACGCGTCGTAGGAGAATAAAATGGCTGGGGAATGGAGAGATTGTACATCGGCCGAAGCTTATACACATCGTCACGCGAACTTTAACTAGCATCTCTCTACCTCCTGTTGACTTTTTCGCAGCGCAAGCTATGTTCACGCTTGTCATTATCACTTGTCGAGCGAGCGCAACCACGACGACGACGACGATCATCATAATAACACCGATGAGAAAAGTAAACTGTTTTATCTGGCCGATGCTTCTCCCTGTCCAGTATATAGCGCGCATAAGAGGGGGGGTATGTAGCCGCTGCACTCGATGCTTCGAGTTTATACATTATCTCAGATTTCCTCTTTAAACATTTCCATAATGCGTATACCAATATCGGCCGCGACGTTGTACGCGCAATTCTTCCGAGTTCTTTCCTCCATTACTGAGCAGCAAAAAGACGAAGAAAAATGAAAACTGTTTCCTTGATTTTCCTTCTGTGCAACCTTTCTTCCTTTGAGATCTGGCTACACAACGAGCTTATGGATGTTAGACAATGACAATTTTCGGCTGAGGAAAGCATACATGTTTCTCTGCGCACCAAGCCTTTTTTAAGGTATGTATACTGCAGTAGTAAATGAGTACGTTTGGTCAGGCGATATTACATAAAAAACCCAATCGAGCCGCGCGTTGGTGCACCCTGACGTCCACCGCAACTTGGAGTCCATCACTCGAACCTTGAAATTGCCCGCATACGTAAACGAATAAAAATTCTTTACATATCATTACTTCAATGA